TTAATAAATGTATACTAAAATTTAAATCTTCTGCGTTTCAATTTTCCTTCAAAATCGGCACGAACTTTCCAGACAACCCAATATATATATATATATCCAGAGATATTAACGATAATTTGCGACTAATCGAATAAGAGTAAATTAATGTTTTCATTTAGAAAATAATTTAATTATTTTATTTAATTCCTAATTTAAGGCATTGATTGCATTATTCGATAAAATTTAAGAGATACTACCATTAACGGAATTGAGTTTACTTTAGCTAAAAATGTTATGATTATTACGATTGATTTAATATTTTACTTTAAATATTATGATTTCAATATAATTCTGTGCAACGTATCGACCGTATTTAATTTAATTAAATAATTTGCGAAGTTTCTCTTCGTGGCGCGTAAATTAGGTAAATGCGTTATGTGGAATACAAATACCGCAGTTAGTGGGATGAAAATTAAATTTCCCGATATATTATATACATATAGTAGTATAGAGATTCTGATTACCTATTTAATTACCAAATAACGACGAGTATTATGGAACTATAACACATAGCTGCAGAGCAAACTCGATATGTTAAATCACCGTTAAAGGAGATTGGCAAACTCGTGAGATCAAAGTAATAACCATCGTAAATCTACGATGATTATTATTAATAACCTATCCGGATATATACCTCGATTAAATATCATGTATCTTAAATGTTCTAAAACGTATTGTTATATTATTAGAGAGAGAGAGAGAGAGAGAGAGAGAGAGAGAGAGAGAGAGAGAGAGAGAGAGAGAGAGAGAGAGAAAAGGTAAACGTGCGTATACTAAGTTTTGAATAACGTTTAGTTTAGAATTACCGTGAAGCTTATTAATTTTGTTCAACTATAAAACTCATTATTTATTTTTCAATAAAGTTTATAATCTAATAAATACACGCGTATGCAATGTCTCGTATGTTATGATATATAATAATAAATAATAACTTGGATGTTATTGGCACAAACTTACGCGAGAAATAATGTATACCGTACGCGAGTCACGTAAAGGTAAACCTTGTTTCAATATTTGGATTCTACGTGTACGATTATACATTCACTTGTATCTCTAATCGGACCCTTATGGTAATTCAGCTTCAGTTTCGGATCGTGCCATTCTTAGAAATCGAGTCAGGAGAACAATGTTCGCTGGACAAAATAAATTCGACGTTGCGCAAAAATGACATTAATTATAAAACAAATATTAATTATAAAAATGAATTTAAAGATATTGGAATTAGTTTTAAAATCTTATCGTTTAATTTTTAATGATCTTTTCGGGAAAAGATGTTAAATTAATAAATTTTTTGGATAAAGATGTCAATTCTCAGTCGTGAATCGAGACAATACATATCTATAAGTATTCAGTAAGTTAAACCGTTGATATCTCTATTCATTCTATATTCCAATTGCGCGCTTTGGAAGTAAATAGGAAATAATATCCTAAATCTTGTAGTAGCCATTAAACTGCCAAACGCATTTATGTCAGCTTATTTATCATTCATAGATGAATGAAAAATAAACGAGAGAATTTACTGTTGCGTATTTGTTATAAATTGACTCTCAAATGGTTTCCCGTCGGAACGGGAGCTTCTCGTCGCAGTCAGATAACATATATTTCGTAACCGGCTTCATTCCAGATGATCATACTTTAAGATTTTGTTATATAAAGTACGTGTAAATACAACGTACGAAGCAATTTATCAGAATATTCTGAGATCGCTTTGCAGAACTAAAGCTGATGGCAGAGAACAATGTTTGAAGATGTTTGTCATAAGATGTAGGGTAAGGCAGAGAAAAGCTTATAACCTAAAGACTAACAGTCTTTTACGACTTAAGTTATAAATTTTTCTCTGCCTTACTCTGCGTCTACATTTAAGACAAACTTAAACGTATACATCTCGTTCTCTACCATCAGTTTAATGAATCTAATTCGTCTAACTAATTTCAACTTAATGGATATCTACGTTTGGCGGTCAATATAAATTTCAGATCGGACTATTTTAATTATGCTTTGATTTCTGGATCAAATTTTAAAGTATAAATAAACAAGACGTATTTTTAATCAAATATATTTATTCTGTAATGAAAATATAAATAAAATCCAAATTGGAACAAGAGAATTTGCTATGCGAATAATCTTTCATTTATATTGGAATTACATAAGCTATTTTGTTTTGTAACTCCATAGAGAGAGATTTTAGATAACAAATATAAATGTACTGTATTTGCGTAACAAATTTTTTTACGATATTACTGCATTGACGTGCATGTTTTGTTATTTATGCGGTTTAGAAAACAAATTTTTTCGAGCAAATAATGCATTGCGTCTGAAATCGACCTTTATAGGCGTGTAGGATGCGCCAAATATTTCGCGATGTCAGTTCCATATATTGGTATTGAATTTACGGATATAAAGGAATACAAATCACGACACGAATGGGATACGTGCTCCAAAATAGGTGTTCAACAATAAAATTCACAAATCCGATCATCTTGTCGCGCTGTATATCGATCGAGGTTTTTACGAACTCGCTATATATCTATTCGTTCATTTTGTGTAAAATTTTGCTTTCCAATATTGACATTATATTTTTTTATCGCGTCAATTAATCGTGCGAGCATCATAAAAGCGGCTAAATAATCCTAGGTTTGTTTGAATTTCATATAAAAGGTATATTAAATGTTATAATAGTAGATTTTATTTCTACAATATATATGTATATGAATAGAACAATGTATGTGAACGAGACGTTACACGGACATATGTTTCTCGTCCGTGAGCTTCGAGCAATTACTTTTAGATAGAAATCACCGTTTGCCAATATGTATTTCTGCGTCCATGGTAATTCAATCACGGAAACGTTCGATTGCATTGGCGTTTACTATGTCAGAAGCATGCTGCCGACCTCGATTCGGATTATCGAATCGGTCAATCGCGTATCTTAAAATTGCTCACTACGGTCTGCAGATGGTATCCGAGGGAAGTTGGCCGAAACTATTTTTAATTTCGATACGCACGGCTGTATCAAAATATTGATGCCTTAACGACATAAACAGATACCTAAACGAAAAATCTATATAGAGCTATGTAGAGTTACATAATTTAGGATACGAATAATAATAGGCTTAACATGCTTATAATGATGATAAATTAACTTCTATCTCTGACGTGAGGCGAGAAAAATTGGGAACAGTTGTTCATCGATGAACACATTGACCGACTGACGAAAGTTCAGTATTTAATGAAACTAAATGAAAATTTTCCTCAAGATACTTCACGTAATTTAAACTGACTGAACAAATTATTCTGGCTCGCAAACCATCATTCTGAATGTCCTTCGTAAATGGGACTTCGTTCCGATGTAGTTACAAGAGATACTCAAATTATCGAATGTCGGATCGTTGCATCGATCATGGGACGAGTTCAGTTTACTATAGAATTCGGATATACCTGATTGAAATAAGTCCCGCGAGGATTTTCAATAGTCGATTCAACATCCTAAAAGGAAGATCGATCATCTATTTACAATAGAAGCGAATAGATTTAGATTATTATTCTCTAAATTGTTTTAGTGAGTACATGATGAGCTTTCAGGGGATTACAAGATGCGGTTAGTAACTCTAGAGCTTCTAGAGGAAAGTTTGTGTCGCGTACACAGTCTGGCATATTAACACCATTGCTGACTGCCTATCATGCATATTCCAACTGTGCAAACGAATATCTTTTCACTGATTAAGTAGATTCCTGAATATATCCATAAATCTACAGATTTTGGATTTACATATTCGGATGTTTATCCATAAATCCATATATCCATAAATCTTCCAATTGGTAATTTATGTTTTCATCTAACTGGAAACTAAAAATTTCTTTCTGTACAATAAATTAATATATTATTAATTGACATATATCTTAAAGTTTTTGAATCTTAATATTAAATCCATCGTAACAACATTTTGTTACATCGAGGTCAATTTATACGAGGTGTTACGATTATGCTAATGCTGGCGAATAACGGCATGATATTACATGCAATATTCAAGACAGTATCTGTATAATGAAGCAATATGCACATGTCTGCGCATGGAACCTGTAATTTGTCATTCTAAATATGCGAGTGCTCGCTGTACGCAGTTCTGTTAAAGCCTTAAAGCAATGTCGTACATATTACATGCGTTTTCGTTTATCCCTGTCATGTTTCTGATGTGTGTATACGCGTCCCAGATCCGTAATCCTCTGAAGCCGCGTTAACTAATATCTCATTCAATTTTCATGATTGATGAGGAAGCTACGAGGAATAAGCTGTTGAAGGGAGCTTGCAGCGACTTTCAATCGTATGAATAAATTAATTTCATCGGAATATATTTTCCCATCAAATAACTGATGCGGTAATACGATATTTGCTAAAGAGGATAATGAAATACATTGTTTACATAATATATAATCAGACACGTATAAAATGACAATTTCTTCGTATTTTGTTTGGTCGTGCTGCGATAAATGCTATACAATAATTTCATAATTTCCTTATCATCAGTGGCATTCTGTTTATCTATGCGTCATTTCTATAAATAGCAAAATGATCGAAAATCACGCGCAAATGATGACGGGGTTGTCGAGATCAAATAAATTGTCGAAGATATTTAACAAATTTCAATGTGTAGTCGCATTGTGATTGGACATCTCATACACGCTCAAACGTTGAACATTCTCCGATAATTAGGATCGTGGGAATTCATTCCAAGTATCACCAATCGTATAATTCAGGATCTGAGTTAATTAGTAATTAGTAATTAGTTTCGCAAATTCTCTCTCGTTTCGTTACAAACGCGTTCTATTATAAAAGTTCTATTATAAAAGAAAAATTAGGTATAAGGTGAAAAATCTCGTCTTGCTACTTCCCTCGTTTATCTGCACTGTGATGTTTTATTGGTACATTTGATTCTGTTTATCTAATTCAATACTTCGCGTTGAATTACTCGTGATAGAGGAACCGTAAATTGAGCGAAGCATCAGTGGAATACGGATCTCCATCCTCTTTTGCATAATACATGTAATGCAGCGTCATCCCTTTCAGCAGACTCGCGACATCCATAATCTCGGAAGATGCAGCACTGCGTCTTATAAAATCCATCGCGACAGCAAGTAGCAACCTACGCTGAGCGTCTAGCTAGAATAACGTATTCTCATAACTTGCAATGAAAATCGCGAGCAGCACTGGTATGTGTGTATATCGCACACAAAAGTTTTCCATTGCTTTTCAGCTACATAGTTTAGCGAGCTACCGGTGGCACGGTATCATAAACCCAGACTCTTAAAATGTCCTATTTACGTTCCACGAGAAAATTTTGTAACGTAATCTTTCTCCCTGGTTATAATAGAATTCAACAGAATAGCGTTGTAACTTGATTTTAGCCTTGTACGAAGAAACTTCGATCGCGTTGGGAAACTTCATTTACGAAGGAACAATATTACTTCCGCTAACCGCGAGGCTTTTATAAAACAAATTCCTCTCGTTATCACAACAATACTGTCATGACCATTAAACCGCTATCGCGTCTACTAGAAAATCATGTCAACGTGTCCAACATACATATATGTCTCCGTATATCAAGTCACGTCCGCTCAACACAACCCAACATCTGCACCGACAGTTAGCCAGTCACGTATTTTGTTACATATCTCTGGTCCAAATGTTTCTGTGGGAGCACCACCATAATTAACCCATTATTTATTAACCCATTATGACTGCGACTATGTACAGGGTGTCCCGTAAGTTTTTGCGGTTTGTGTAGATAGAGATGACTAAGTTGAGCGGCTGAGTTGAAAAGTCTTGTATCATTTTGCAATTTTCGCAATAGTTAACAAGATATTAATTATAATTACTAAAAATTGCCGAATATTGATCTTCAATAATTTTTTATTCACATACTACTACTACATTACAGAAAAATTGCAAAAGACAAAAATCATTTATAAGAATTTTTTATCAACTTTTTAGTACTGCATTTTCTTATTTTTACCAATATGAGAAAATACGGTATTAATAAATTTTGAAAAATTTCTAAAATAAAATTCTCAGAACTTTATGAGAAGAAAATAAAGAATTTTTGTCTTTCACTGTTTTTCTGTAAAGTTGATATTTGAGTAAAAAATTATTGAAAATCAATATTCAATGATTTTTATAGTAATTAATCTCATTAACCATTGCGAAAATTGAAAAATAAACTTTTCGACTCAATTTAGTCCGATCTATCTGCACAAAAGCGCTTACGGGACATCCTATATAAAAAGAATTTGCTAAAGTATATAAAAATTTAGTTGGATATGAATCTGAAAATAATTATATTGGATTAAAAATAATTATGTAGCACTCAAGTATAATCGACAAGCAAAAAGCTTTGACATTCTTATAACAACCAACTTGAACGTTTACTACATAATTATTTTAATAATCTAATAAAATTATTTTGATTTGTATTCAATTAAGTTTTCAGATACTTTAGCATAACCGTTCTATTTGTGTATATGCAGATATATATTATGTGGGATCATAAGTTCATTCAGTTTTTTGAATAAAATGTTAAACGTAAAATGTTAATTAAAAATATTTTTAATCAATTAAATATATACTATTTTGTTCGTTTCACCCTCTACATGAAAGGAATAATTTTGCTGTAGATCTACAAAAACCAGATACAAATCTGAAAATAATAGTGTAGAACGTTTAAACTGATTGATAGAATGTCAAAACTTTTTGCAAAATTCTCATTCATTCATGCAAATTCTCACTCATCATGCTTGACATTCTCCTATAATTATTTTGATGGTTCAACAAAATTATTTTTAGATTTGTATCTAATCTTTTAGCTTTCAAACTTCAAAATTATTTTTTAATATGTATTAATGGAAATAGAAAATTAGATTTCTCGATTGGTAACAAATCTAATTCTGCCTCATATTGCCTCATTATGTATACGACGGGATAATGGAAGAGATCTCTACGCAATATTCGATCTACAGCTAAACAGCCGTTCGACACTATCCATCATTTAGGGTATTTTAGGGTAAAAGCATATCACAGATGTAAGTCTCTCATCAGCACACGGCTGTAATGTCCAGCAAAATCGTTCTTGCAAACTTCATTATTCTTCCTCCAAGGATCGATATTAATGATGAGCATTTTCGAGATCAATTTCTCTTGAAATGAAATTTGACAAATTACTTCTGGTACATGTATTCAATTCTTTTTCGTATACGGCATATATCTTTTTTTTAGTTCGTTGCATTTTTATATCTTTACGGAAATAAAAAAGCATCATGCACCAAAATAACATTTTATTTCCTTCCATTTTCAAATTGTTGCTAATATTGCCAATTCTTGTGCAAATTGAAATCACCTTTCAAAATATATTTCGTATGTCTAAGAGCAAATGATACCAATAAGAATTTTACCGTATATTTGAAAATTCAACAATAAGAAATAAAAAATATAAATAATGGCTGTAATGATCAAAATTAGATCTTTAATGCTTAAATAATTCAATCTGAATTACTATGTATGTATACTGTATATGTACTTGCATATATATCATATTTATAGTCATTTAAACTTCGTGTCGAATTAATTTTCCTTATAAACGCAATTAAACTACTATAGTAACATCGCGAATTAAATTGACAAGCAATTTTAATAATTTGATGCTTAATCAGGCACATTATGCTGCATTATTTGTTGTTTCAACCATTCGAGTTGTCATCAGTAGTCATGCTCAATGACTTTTATGTCTCGACATATATTACAGCTGCGTATACATATTTTTAGCCGTATCGCATAAAATCGATACAAAGATGTCATCAACTTGCGTCGCGTTATACATTTGTCGTGGACTATTATTTTAAAAATAACTTACTGTGGATATAACCTCGTGACGGAACTGTTGTAAACTATGTTTCAAGATTTCACACAGCGATAAATAGACCGTGTCAAGATTCGTTGGGATTTTCCTCTTGTTCGCAGCACCGGAATTCGAAGTTTAACATCTACTGCATGGAGCATCCAGTGCACCAGGTGAGTTGTGTCTCGGCCGCCGGGCCGGCTGCCAGGTTGCGCCAGAACAGCGTATTCGTGGGTTCGAGCATGTCGCTGCTACCGGCCAGCCAGGAGACGCCTAGGCGAGCCAAGAGTGCATTCGATCTGCAGTCGTTGGTGCACGCGGAGGGGACGCAGAATGACGAGGAGGAAAGCGACGGTGACACGCTAAGGACCCTTAGATCTATCGGCGAGACGTCGCGACTGTTGCAACGCGAGCGTCGATCCAGCGCTTACCAGTTCGACCGCATGGATGTCCTGGCGAGGCCGATGTTGCAACACGAACGCGGTATGAGTGTCTGTCACTTCGACAGAACAGACGTCCTGGCCAAACCGCTGCAGAGAGATCGCGGTATGAGCATCTGTCACTTCGACCGGATGGACGTCCTGGCCAGGCCGACATTGCAGCGCGATCGCGGCATGAGTATCTGCCACTTCGACCGGACGGATGTTCTGGCGAGATCGTTGCAGCGTGATCGTGTCAACAGCATTTGTCACTTTGACAGAATGGACGTGCTGGTGAGGCCCACGTTTCCGCCCGGCAAGTCTTTGTTGCGGGAGAGACGCGTCAGCGTATGCAACTTTCTGGAAAGGGACGAGGAATCGAGCAGTAAGAATATTTTGCAAAAGGACAGACGGTTGAGCTTCAGTAACGTCGACAGAATCGAGACTCTTGGGAAATCATCATCACGTAGAGACCTGCGCAGCAGCAGCAACAACGTGATGGACGGCAAACAGGACAGCCTAGCGAAATCAAGTACGATCAGAGAGAGGAACAACTCCGTGCACTTTGATCGTCCATCCTGCAGCAAAACGTCCGACATCGTGCTCGGATACAAAGCGACGTGTGTTTAATCGCGGCTTCTTCCTGGAGAACACGCGAAGAAGACGTTAATTCCGTGACGATGGTCCAGTCACGGAATCTACCTTGGATGAAATACGGCTGTGAAATCTTTTCGTAATCGCTTTCGACGCCACTTTTATCGCTTATATTTTGTGTATTCTTTTATGGATTCTTCTGAGAGATACCACAGCCCTGAGCACCGACCTGACCCTTATTGAACAGTCAAAATGCGATAAATAATCTCTATTTAAATGCCGGCTTTGAAATATCGGCTTTCCCTCATTTTCTCCTATTCGCGATAAGCGCAATCGACTTCGCTCGCTCGTTTTGTAGATGAAAAACGATCTAGTCTGGGTCAGAGAAATATTTCGCATCCATTTTCTGCGCTTGCGAAATGACTTCACAAGTGCACGTCGGGTCTTTAGGTGCTCTCCGGAAATTAAACACGTAGACACGCAACAGGAGAATAGAAGTTGAAGAACGTTTTTCATCGCGTTCCTTTTCTTTCTTTCTTCTCCTGTTTGTTTTTTTCCCTGCCTTTTTGCCGCGGGCTAAACGTAATAATGAGACTACCTACCGAGCGTCGATTGCATGAATGATACATAACAGGCATTTCAACGAATTCGCTCGGGGAACACTGCTGAATTTCCATTCGTTGCTTGACGATTCGTTAATGACATATTCGAGAGTTTCACTAGCCGAACAATGGAACTGCAGAACGCGAGCATAGCTGCACGAGTTACCGCAGGAGACCGCGATCGCGCGTTGGTAGATCGTTTCATTGTGATGATTTATTCGAACATGGTTCAGAATTTTTAATTAACATTCTTAATGGCGTGGTCTGACGAGCGAGCGAAGTATAATCAGTTGGAAAAAAAAATCGATCGATCAACTTTATTCACTTCTATCCAATTTTGCACTCTATCTTTCTCTCTCTGTCTTTCTATCTCTTACTCTCGTAACCATAATTATAGACGTGGAGACTTTTCCTTCTCTTTCCTCTTTTTTTCTCGGAATCTAATCTGCCGTAGGGAGCTGACCGTAGAAATTACTCCGTTCTTCGAAGAGACGAAGTCTCGTGTAGCATCTATTCTACTTGTAGACGTACGTACGGGCTCTCGCAAATTGTCTGCACACACAAGGCAATAAATCGTTTAGACGCAACGGCGTGTTCATCGGGCGCGCATGATTTTTTGATCTGTAGAACTTGCCAATACCATTAGCACATGCTCTCAGGGATTATTATTTAAAATCTTCACTCGCGCGTAAAAAATAGGAATGCGTTTACTGAAAAAAAAGTCTGGTTGAAAATGGACGAATTTTCTGGTTTAGTTGAGATAAACGGAATTCTGATTGATACACAATAATTATTCTGGTTAAAGTAAGAATTCTAATAGATTTTCTCAGAAATATTGTATATAAATGTAAAATCCTAATAGATTTAACCAGAAAATTCTGAGTCGTCCATTTTCCAGAATTACTATTTAATAATCCAATCAGACCATTTTTCTCGGTGTCCGCTTTGGGTGCTTTTATAAGTCTCATTTTATTATTTTAATGTATGTAATGAGTGATATAGATAAAATGAAGCTTATCTCACATGAGCATCTAAAGCAAACGCATCCATAGTCTATCGCTAATATAGAGAATCATCGAATATGCATTCATTTCTTGCGATTCAATTAAACAACGTTATAGAGCCTATTAATTTAGCTAATGTCGAACGGATTGATATTGAATGTATTGGTTGGCTTGTTAATCGAGCTTTGCGGCTGTCGATATATGAAATACGATACGTAATCCGCGCATTACGACCGTACGTTTACATTTAACAATCATAATGGTCATTAAAATTTCATTATTACGTAATGGGTTTGATTCTGAATCTCGTTTTGGTATGTCATAATTTTTCGCGGTTAATGCTGTCGTAAAGTACAAAGCATACTATTCTAAAGCCACAGATAAAAACTGTAATAATATTTGTCGTCATATCCACGAATATTTGAATATCGATGTAACGAAATAATTACCTATTTTGAATAATTGATAGATTTACATGATACATACATACATACATATACATACATGTGCGGGAACTAATGTCAGATATTTTCGGAGAGCCTACATATTTTTATCTGTTGGAATAAGGCAAGCAGTTATCAATGAGATTACTCTTAGTGTCTAGTTTCTTCAACATTGGAAGATGTATGATACGCGATTACTTCGGTACTAGGAAGCTCTTAGTGAGATTCATACTTGTACACGTGTTTGTAGTGCATGGAATTAAAGAGATGAGCTCATTGAGCTGTCGGTACATTATCTCTCCTTTCAATTGAAAAGTTCACTCTAAAAGATAATTAAAAGCGATTTAAAAAGGGAGAAATGTTACTAGAAAACTCATGCGAGCATCTCTAAATTTGTTAAAGGCCCTTGTCTGCTATTTGACGCTTTAATTGAAAGTGCAACGAAATCACCATGTAAAAAGAGAAAAATCAACACTATTTAATCCCGCATAGCGGAAAGCGGCCTTCAATAAAATGAGATATTACTGCAACATTTTTTCGCGCATATTTATATAAAAGTGGGAAGTGCAAATCTTTTGACGAGATTATCATTTTATTTTTCTTCTGACGTAATTGTATCACTGTATAAAATTAAAGGGCTCGGCTCAAAATAATATATTAATCTACATGAAAAACATACCTCATCTACAGTAGTCAATACATTATTGTTCCAAATCATTATTGCTCTATAAACAATTGATTATGGCTATTAAATAATACGATTGTCTTTCATGTAAAATAAAATACTATTTTTCTCGCGATCAAAAAATCTGTGACCTCTATTATCAAACTTTATGGAAGTATTAATCACAATTATAGCTCCCTCGTGTCAGATCGAAATTCATTAACAAAGGGACCTTCTCTAATTAGTCGATAATGAAAATATCGTAGAGTAATTATATGTACATACATATACGCGTAGATACGTCAGACCAAATGTAAGCTTTAAATTTTAAGACTATTATAGTAAAGACTATTCATATGATAGAGATTATAATTTCCTGACTTCACATTCAGACGCGCCTCAAACGTTCGTACCTTCAACGATTCAGATTGTTTCAATCAAAAAGATTCAAGAATTCTACATGTATTTATTGTGAATGTCTAATAAATATTAAGACATATACGCGTATCTCTTTTTTAAAAGAGCGAAGCATTATAAAAATAATGTGTTGCATTTATTTTGTTAAATATTTGTTTGACAGATGATTCTATATATTTATTTTTAATACAGAAATTGCCAAATAATTTTAAGTATTGCTGACGGTTATATTTATTCCAGAAATTCTTTCCGAAATTCTTTTTCTATAAATTTCTATGAAAACATCAGACATTTCTATAACATATTTTTTCTTATGTGTGTATATGTATCCTCACGAAAAGTTCGAAGAATTGAAAAGAAATAAAATATATTAAAAAATAACGTATGAATAAGAGTAATATAATGTTAGACTTATGTGAGATATATATGATGAAAAGTATAAATTAAAATCATTATAAATGATTTGCGAAATGGAAAAATTCGACAAAAAAGCGTTTATTGAATGAGTAATGTTAATATTTATACTTTATTATAATATGTATTTTTAAATTATTTAATTATATATACTTTAAAGAGCTTGTCATTTATATAATTATGAATGTATAAAATTAATTAACACGTTAATCGACTTTGATTTCATACAATTTGTCATTTACAATTTATTAAGTATGTTGATTCGAGTAATTTTTCTAGTCTATGATCTGCAAATTATGTATATGTAGGAGATAATTTTGTGAATATGTTAGCGAATGACTTTTTATGAATATGTATGTTAGCGAATGACTTTTTTGTACAATAAATATTGTTTGAAACAATATTGTAATATATTTGTTTTTAATTTAGTAAAGAGTATTTATTTTTAATAAAATCTCACAAAAGTTTCTTGTGTGACGAGATTTACTATAAACGTGAGTTGCACCAGTAAATTAATTCCACATGTTATCCTATCTCCATTGTTATTTTCAAGGGAAGCGAAGCGACACATCAGAAAAATGTGTGTGTGCTTTCGCGATGTCGAGAGAAGATTGCCCAGAGGCTATCGCTCGTTGTACATACAATAAAGTGCAACAGTAAAAGCAAGCGAAATGCACAGAGTTTCGCAAAATCAGTGGCTCTCTCGCTAACCGGAAATTTTCGTAAAAGCTTCTATTTCAGCATCCTGTACCGTATTGCACTCTTTATCGTACGATGATTATCGTATGAAATGAGACTCGTTATCTTTAAACCTCTCCATTTTTAAAGAGGCACGGATCAAGTAAGAATCTTCCATTGCGCTAAGATCCTTTCCATCCTTTCTCTAAGATTCTAGAATTTAGGAATATTGCTTCTACTACATTTAACAGTTCTATTCTCATCTAATAGATATCATGATTTTCTATAATTTCTTTAAAATCTTGATAATTTATATGACTATCAAGGTAATCATAGATATTATTTATTTCAAACTATTCTTTTCTTATTTCGTTCTAATTCACATAATGCTCGATTGTTAACTGTTTCCTTCATATAACATTTATCATGAAATTTTGACATTAATCAGATGTTAACTCATGCATTATCTTTATAATCACGTTAAACTGTTTGAGCGTGAAAGAAACAAGCAGCTCTAACTTTAATACGACCTATCAATATTATCGATTAAACGTCAATACCTCTAAACTACATGTGATATGGCCATACTTTCAATCCGTCATATTATTTCTAGTTTTTGTTGAGAAACGTTCTTTCATCATTATATATCTTGTGCGTGACTAAAAGATTCAGCGCATTTTCTCTACCTGCGAAATCTTTGTTACTTTCATGCGATTCAGCAATTATGCTTTTTACATCAACATGGATATAAGAAGAAATATAATTCTTCGCAAATATTATTATAAAATTATAAATTACATCGAATATACGTTTATACAACATTTAATTATATTTTGATAATTCTTGTTCTGTTTATTTTTTGTCGTCATAATTACATTTCATCATGAAGTTAATATTTTTTTCTGTTTTTATTACTAAAATTTCACCTAAAGTTTTCTCATTAAAATGATAAGTATACAGCTTGATGAGTACGTATCTAGAATTTCTGAACAATTTCTGAAGATTTCATTTATTAATTTTATTGTTAAATGTAATGTAAATTTTATAAATATTTTACATTT